GAAACCCTCGTGACAAATATCTTTGCGGCCACTTCGGTGGCAAACCGTCTAGCTTCGGACACCATGCATTCTCAGTCAGTATCAGTCTCAAATGAATTCCTGAGATGTCTCACAAGCCGGATGGAGTATGACAAATGACGCTGCACCTGAGAAGGGAGCAGATACCATCCGATAGCCGACCTGTTGGCCATTACTATTCCGGGAATGTCCCAGCGCCGACGGGCGCCTGTGACGTGTCCGGGTCGATGTCGTTCGACGTCTGGCGGACATGGGACGTGAATTATGCCCGGCTCCCTCCCGGACCTGCACTACCTAATGTATGCGCATGGGATGCACGGACGCTCCCGGGCCGCAAACTACCGATTTACAAAACACAGATGGAATGTAAATGGTTCAGACTGAGCCGTGGCAGAGCTGGAGGGCCCTGGCGGGCATGGCGGCGTCGCGTAAGAAAGAAGGAGGGATCCGAATGGGCGTTGAGCTGAGTAGTTCGATTTGGGGTTTGATTCTCCTCGGCGCCCGCCTTTCCTGCTTAGGATGGAGTCAGGCGATGCATATAGGCTCAGCAACTGAGCGCGTCGTAAAGCAACAATGAAGAGACAAATGATGTCCTGAGCAGTGAGCATGCCTACGCACAGAAGCTCAGCATCTAAGGTGGTGTCGAAAAGGGAGATTGAAGCCTAGCAGTAACCGTAAGGTGAGGACGCCCACTGGCGCGGCTTCCTGCCAAGTGACTGTGCAGTACTGCGCTTCACCATCACACCACCTATGCATGAAAATGTAACAACCCACCGAAGTACAGTTGCATGTGGGCTCCCGCTGCCGGGGTCAACAGTAACGATATGAGTCTGGTCTTATGTATGGGATGTCATGTGAAGTCCGTAAACACGCGACTTTTATAGATGAGGCACACGCATTCTCAGTTTCAGGGGTGTGGTCTTGAAAAATGAGTTGGTGGGAGTGTGCAGTGAAAAGTGACACAACCTCACCCCAAACTGAGAAAACACATGTCCTTCCTCCGATGTGAGTTTACGCCGACCGAGAGCACGTATTGCTCGACTGATTATTTTCGGTCACACGCATTTACCATCCATGACGGAATGAGATGGAGGAAGCAGTGCGTGGTTGTGTGTAACGGACTGTGTAACGGACATTTTCCATTCATTATAAAACGTTGGGTGCTTCAGCGGTTTTATCACGTTTAAAACTATCATTATTTACACCCGTGCAAACGGACTTAGAATCCACAGACCAAGCATTTCATGCTGAATTACTTACTAACGCACCACTCAAAGCACTCAACGGAAGAGCCGTTGCACGTGCCCACGTCGCGGTCACTGCTAGGCTTGAATCTCGCTTTTAGGCGCCATCATGACGTACTGAGCTCCTGCGCTTAGACATGCCTAACACTCAACGGCAGCCATAAGTATGCACGTTTCAATTTAGACAAGGATATTTCACATGGACGTGGAGTGGTCTGAGGCGGTCGTGACGCGACTGGGATGCATGGGAGGGTTCTGTTCAAGCTCATCATTTTCTCAGCAAATACATAAAATGGTTTCGTAGGTTGAACACATACGAGCCATGGCCGCTTCGCCCCTTCTAAGCCACCATGGCAGAGGCTGGACCGGCGAGCGGGTTGAAAGACCGGCGTATTATTCAGGCTCTGCCACATGTGTTCAGCTCTGAGGCATGCTCTTGAAAGCAACGAAGACATGCTTCTCCAGCCACCGCGCTAGGGGAGGACACAGTTTGAACTTTACACTTGCCGAAATCTGCATGAGGGCTTACAACCCACGTGCAAAGAACGCTAGGACAATCGGCGGATGAAAAAGAAGACCCTTGACGAGCCGGAAATCAGCCTCACTAGCGTAGGGCTAGCTCAGGTACAGATCCGTCTTCCATGCACCGCATACCCCCACCAGCTTCTTACTGTACACGATGGCATGGAAAATGCTGCACTTTGCATATTAAAAATGTGTCACGAACGTGAGTTTTTTCCGCACCGTTGCAGGGGGTTCACGCATACTAAGGGAGACTACCACTCATCTGAGTAAGCTCGACTTCGAAATGGCCGAGGATTTGAGCTTGAAAATGTGACCGCCCTAGTCGTCCGACTCAGCCTCCCCGTCCCCAAGGTCGCTTGAGGCCGCTACGCCCTCAGGGTGGGAGGCGGAAGAAGCCACAGAGACCATGTACCGCGCGTTCATGCGCATGCCCAGGAAATGGACTCCTGCCGGCGTTTGTATTCTGTAGGAGGAGGCTGGACAGGTTACATGGAATCATAAGAGAATGCGACCACATGGCCGCGGCTACCTGCACGTGGGTGCCTAGCCAGCACACGGATAATATCTCACGGTTGGAGGAGTGACTGATGCTTCATGATACTAGTTCTACCCCTTTTGGTGAAGAACAAACAGTTCACAAGAAATACGTCTTGCCCACATGTAACTATGCCTTGCGTAAATATAGATATGCATACCTGTATGTACGATCGGTGTGGACCCACTCATAGTTCTTCAGCCTGCTCAGATTTATAGGAAATAAGGATCTAGCACGACAACTAGACTTATAAGAATGCAATACCATACAAGAAGAGTATTTTTGCACAGTCACGTGTCATTGTTATGAAACGTATATAAATCAGCAACTCCCACATTGGCTGATACTCAGTTGTCCATAACTGAAATGTGATGCATTTTTGAAGCAGTGGTTTCGAGTTCACGAACTGCGTCTCTCTCGCTCAAATTCTCAAAGCTCTGCAGCCTGCTTGGAGGTGCAGACGGGTGACAGCCATCTACTTATATTAATGCGCGCCTGAAGTCCAAAGAACACTGTACATGAATTGTCACACCAAATTGCGCTAAAACCAGAAAGTGCTTCTATCCGTTAATCATGTATGGCATTTGAATACATTTTGGTATGCTTTGATGAAGAGACCAGTTGGAAGTGTGGCAATTCGGTGCAATATCCTTCAAACAAACAAAAAACAACACTTGAACAGCTGGTTATGTCAAACAACCGCACTAGTCACAAAAAAATGATCACACCCGCAGCGAAAGAATAGACAAGGGTGAGAAGTTTGACGTGCATCTAGGTGTCATATCCGTTTTTTTCGAAAAATCAAACCGTAGTAACTGTTGTGAAACTGTAGTTACCCCATCTTGCTAAGTCAGCAAGAGTAACGCTACTAAATGATGTATGAAAGAAATGAAGGTGGCTGCACAGCATGACGTTTGTCGAAGCAGGGCGTATGCAGGATTTCACAAAAGGGGGAGTAGGATATAGGCATGTCTGAAATTTCACCGAAAACCGGGTTTAGTGTACCGCAGGCGAACGCATTTTCTGTCACATCTTAAATCAGCCTGTTTTTTTCTCGATCTTGTAATTTTTACACGCCTACTTGGAGTTTTTAAGTCAAACGTTGAGTCAAGCCATACTCATCTATGCTTTGAATTTGAAAACGGAGGGGGGGGGGGGTACAATGTGTCATAGGTTACCATGTACGTGCTCCTCCGTGCGGAAGTCACGTCGGACGGGATGAAACATGAAAAATGCGAAATCTGAGCCGCCCTCTATAACGAGGCTGCTCTACACCGCGGCCGATCTGCCAGTGCATGGTAGGTGGCAGCACATGCGAGACTCACCGCACCTCTCGCCTTACTCGTGTGATTTGCGGAAAGGCAGAATACTTTTCGAACGCATACATGAGCGTATATGAAATGGTAGAAAGGAGATATTTTGATCGCTAAGGCTTGAATTACGTAGCCATCCTTAGTGGAATGAATTTTGAAATGCTTCGAATCACTGTTGCTAAAAGTCAACAGCTATTGGCAACCACCGAATATGGGGCTTACTATATGGGGCTATAAGACTGAGGCTTTCTTAAAAGGCTGGTATATTATTTTAGCACATTGGGATTATAATTTATTACGCATTGTACATTCATGTGTTGGATGAGTTAAGCCAGGCCCAGCACGTGATCATGCGATCACGTGCTAATCATGATGATGAGCCCTGTCTGGAAACCCTGGGTCCAAGAATATATATATATATATATATATATATATATATATATATATATATATATATTCTTGCTGACGTCGTATAGCTAATAGCTCCTAGTGCGTTTTGCGTAGCGGCCATTTACATCAGGCCTTATAGGCATTTTCACTTGCATCTCTCCACTCAACGACTGATTCAAAACTTTTAGAAGCTGGTGAAAGCTGACAGCTGTTCAGCCACTTCGAGATGGCATCACCAGCGCAGTGTCACGAAGATCTAAGAGTGCAGGTATCCTGCGGGCGTTTCCTTTCTGCTACTCGATGAGCTCCAGAGTTCTCCTGGCGCGAGTGGGTCTGGCTGCGGCGTCAGCCGACCATGCTGCCCGCGTAGGTCTCCCGGACAGGTAAGGTCTGCCTGGAGCCGCAGGCTCATGGTCGTGTCCACTATGTGTGTGCAAGCGGCCAGGGTGGCCGGCCGCGAGCAGATGACAGTGACGCATCCAGCAAGGAGTGGGGGAGCCATGCACGGGCGCAGCGCTCGGTTGCCGGCTGATGCGACCGGTGGTAGTCAAGGGACGTTTCGTGTGTACTTAAGTGCGAAGGTCGGGAGTTTCGTTTAGGTCTGCCACTGTCGTGCTTGAGAAATTTTGTTTCAGTGGAAAGTAGCCAGTAATTTTGGCTGACCCACTCTGGCACGTCTTGCAATACATCGGCCGAGTTCCGAAACCGCCTTGGATTTTGATGTAGGTCAGGCAGTTTACCCAGGCTAGGCGTCCAGCACCAAGTGCGTGCCTAGTATCTTGCTCAAGGGGTGAGCAACTGACACATTTTATCGGATGTCCTTCGAATTGGGACCAAATTCCTGCGAAAGAGCAAACAATTCTGTACGCACCTCTAAGCTCTGGAAAAGAGGAGGGGAGGCAGCACTACCCCTCAGCCATCCCTTTGGCTACAGCCTCAAAGTGGCGTTGCCGACCGCAATTAAAACACTTGAAAGAGGTTCGAAGTAGTTCATGTTCTCTGAGACCGACACAATTTCATTTTCGAAAAGGTGCAACATCAGCGTCTCCAAGAGCGACAGGACCTTTCACCCCATCATCTTTGGTAACCAATTCCAGTTGCACATAGTCACATCGCTCTTCAGATCCTTTAAAAGTGCTTGACCTTTAGCCAACCCCACCCGACCTCGGCTGTTACAGTCTGGCCGCCCCATCTCCTGGTCAGTGTGGACTCCCACTGCACGAGCCTGCTAGTCGAAACAGTCGATGACGTAGTCCCAGTTGCAGGAGCTGATGCGTTTGTCCCACCCGGTGCCGGCCGGACAGGCGCGCGTCGTGGCCTTGCCGTCGAGGCAGCTGAAGTACCACCGGCAGCTGTACGGGTCGGCGTACAGGCCGTTCCTCCGCGGACAGGAGACTGCAACGAACGGTCCGATCACTGAGCTTGCAAGACGTGAGCGTGCCTGTCTGTTGGCGCGGACGGTGGCCAGTATGGTCAATGCACGTGCATAACACGGCGCAAAAGACCGCCGCAATGTCACGTGGGATGCTGCTGAGCTTTCAGATATTGAAAGAGTGGCATTAGCGCGGCCACAGAGTTCTTTCAATTCCATGTCACAGGTCGAATGTCTATGGCACGCATGCATACGCTTGAGTTTGAACATGGTCAAGGGCTATGTACTGTTTTCACATATTTTCCGACCGGGACATGCATTTTTTGCTCTCCAACAAAGTAACGTAGCTGTTAAGACGCGTGACTGGCATCTCTCGTTCACCAAAAGGCGGTCTTTAGACGCATTATTAATGCCATTCGAAAAGAGTTTTCTTGTGTCAAGATGCGCAGATCCTAGATGTCGATTCCAGATTTCTGAATCCAGATTCCAAGTTGTCCGGAATCATACATCAATTTCGGTCTTGCCATCACGAGGGTCATCTAGGTTGTGTGATCTAATCATAATGCGGTCGAAGAATTAATCATTAACCAGGACAGGTTTCAAATGTTGTTCCTAGATCATCCACGCCCATTTTTGCGATGGTAAATATATTTTGCAAAGTTAATTTTCAGTCCTTGCAAAGGCAAGCTAATCTATCTTATTTCCCTAAAAATAGTCCTAAAAGTACTCAAAAGTATCAAAATTTCATATCTTTGCAACATCTTTGTTGTCGTAAGTGCCACTCTACGGGCTACCAGGTCAATACTGCACATAAAATGCAGTCAGTCCCTTATGTCTCAGTCATCTTTTTAATCAAGGAAGGTATTGCAAACAGCACGCTAACTGGAAGCCCACCACACAGCCGTTAGGCTCAAGGTCGGTACAGTAAACTCGACATTGAGATAATATCTATCCCTGGTCCTGATGCTGCGGTCATTGTCACTTTAAATTTGTTTGAGCCATCGTTGTTAAGTGATCACATCGCGCCGCTTGGGCGAATCGGTCTCGCATCGCACGGAGTTCCTTAGAAATCACACAGGATCTAGATGCTCCACTTTCCTGAAACCCTGAGGGCAATTTTGATTTGCTCTGTCGTATGATTTCAGCCGTCCAAGATTTTACGTGCATTGGCTGAAGGATCTTCTGAGAATCGCTAGCGAACTTCAGCCCATACAAACGAGCTTCCAGGATCCGATATCCATTTCTTAAACTTGGTCGAAAGATCCTTTGGGATGCATGATCAGCGTTTGGTTCCACGAGCACGACTATTAAATCGACGCATGCAAACGCTGATGTCACTGACGCTGCATACGCAACTAAACGGAGAAGACAACTGCTATTTTTGCCCTTTTGAGCGGCAACGACCAACATTTGTTAACTAGTTACTTCCACCCAAGAAGGTTAAAGTCTAACATGACGCACGCAACACTCAAAAGGCCAGGCCAGCGTCCGGCCAAGCCTGGTGCTGTGCCTCACATAGTTTTGTCGGTCTCCTGGTGGTGCTGGTGGCGGCCGTGGTCCGGGCCCGGCAGCCGGTCACGTCTGACCGACACGTGCCGGACCAGCGACTGAAGGCAGTGCCCGCTGGGCAGCGGCTCTTCTTCGGCGCCGCGCAGACGTAGAAGCTGGTGCAGTCCTCCGGGTCCGCGAACGTGCCCTCAGAGGGACAGGTGACTGCGGTGCAGGGCTCGGGGTCAGAGACAGTGGCCCAGGGCTCGAGGTCAGAGACAGTGGCCCAGGGCTCGAGGTCAGAGACAGTGGCCCAGGGCTTGGAGTCAGAGACAGTGGAGCAGGGCTCGAGGTCAGAGACAGTGGAGCAGGGCTCGGGGTCAGAGACAGTGGAGCAGGGCTCGGGGTCAGAGACAGTGGTGCAGGGCTCGGGGTCAGAGACAGTGGCCCAGGGCTCGAGGTCAGAGACAGTGGAGCAGGGCTCGGGGTCAGAGACAGTGGTGCAGGGCTCGGGGTCAGAGACTGTGGTGCAGGGCTCGGGGTCAGAGACAGTGGTGCAGGGCTCGGGGTCAGAGACAGTGGAGCAGGGCTCGGGGTCAGAGACAGTGGAGCAGGGCTCGGGGTCAGAGACAGTGGAGCAGGGCTCGGAGTCAGAGACAGTGGAGCAGGGCTCGGAGTCAGAGACAGTGGTGCAGGGCTCGGGGTCAGAGACAGTGGAGCAGGGCTCGGGGTCAGAGACAGTGGAGCAGGGCTCGGGGTCAGAGACAGTGGTGCAGGGCTCGGGGTCAGAGACAGTGGAGCAGGGCTCGGAGTCAGAGACAGTGGAGCAGGGCTCGGGGTCAGAGACAGTGGAGCAGGGCTCGGAGTCAGAGACAGTGGAGCAGGGCTCGGGGTCAGAGACAGGGGAGCAGGGCTCGGGGTCAGAGACAGTGGTGCAGGGCTCGGGTGTCAGAGACAGTGGAGCCAGGGCTCGGGGTCAGAGACAGTGGTGCAGGGCTCGGGTCAGAGACAGTGGTGCAGGGCTCGGGGTCAGAGACAGTGGCCCAGGCTCGAGGTCAGGAACAGTGGCGCAGGGCTCGGGGTCAGAGACAGTGGTGCAGGGCTCGGGGTCAGAGACCGTGGTGCAGGGCTCGGGGTCAGGGACAGTGGAGCAGGGCTCGGTCAGAGACAGTGGATGCAGTGGCTCGAGGGTCAGAGACAGGTGCAGGGCTCGGGGTCAGGACAGTGGATGCAGTGCTCCGGGGTCAGAAGGGACAGTGGCCCGAGGGCTCGAGGTCAGAGACAGTGGCCCAGGGCTCGGGGTCGAGACAGTGGAGCAGGGCTCGGAGTCCAGAGACAGTGGAGCAGGGCTCGGGGTCAGGGACAGTGGAGCAGCTGGCTCGTGAGTCAGAGACAGTGGCGCAGGGCTCGGGGTCAGAGACAGTGGAGCAGGGCTCGGGGTCAGAGACAGTGGTGCAGGGCTCGGGGTCAGAGACAGTGGAGCAGGGCTCGAGGTCAGAGACAGTGGCGCAGGGCTCGGGGTCAGAGACAGTGGTGCAGGGCTCGGGGTCAGAGACAGTGGTGCAGGGCTCGGGGTCAGAGACAGTGGAGCAGGGCTCGGGGTCAGAGACAGTGGCGCAGGGCTCGGGGTCAGAGACAGTGGAGCAGGGCTCGGGGTCAGAGACAGTGGTGCAGGGCTCGGGGTCAGAGACAGTGGAGCAGGGCTCGGGGTCAGAGACAGTGGTGCAGGGCTCGGGGTCAGAGACAGTGGCGCAGGGCTCGGGGTCAGGGACAGTAGCGCAGGGCTCAGGGTCAGAGACTGTGGAGCAGCGCTCGGCGTCAGAGATGGTGGAGCAGGGCTCGGGGTCAGAGATGGCGGTGCAGGGCTCAGGGTCAGAGACAATATAGCGGGGCTCGGGGTCAGAGATGGTGGCACATGGCTAAGGGTCAGAGACGGCGGCGCAAGGATCGGGGCCAGGAACAGAGGCGTATGGCTCGGGGTCGGAGACTACAGCGCATGGCTCGGGGTCAAAGACAGCGCGCAGGGCTGGGAGTTCAAGACAGTGGCGCATGACTCAGTGTCAGGAACAGCGGCGCAGGGCTCGGGGTACGAGACTGTAGCTCAGAGATCGCGTTCGAAAGTGCGGGCTAGGGCGCGGGAACACAACACCGGGCTAATTATTGACGCGTAAAACTGCTGGTACAATTGAGAATGTCGCCAGCCCCGGTGAGCACCAGGACCACTTAAAGGTTCCTATGACTGAGCCCAGATCTTTCAGTCATTGTCCCAAGGCCCTTAATACTCAGACACAGGTGCCCTCGCAATACGATTGGTCGGAATCATGCATACCGGCTAGGATGTGGATCCATACCGTGCACAATATCCGCAGCACGGGAATCGTTCAAATGCATCTGCTGGATCCCGTGACGAAAAGACCTCAGACTGCAGACCTTTGTGCTACCTTGGTCTTGCTGCTTACGACATTGTGTTCAAGCTGGTATGCAAGAGCACACAATATATACGCGACGCAGGAGTGCCGCCGCTACTTACAGGTGGCGGTAGGTCGGGCGGTGGTGACGGGTTTGGAGGTGGTGACCGGCCGGCCGGTGACACCGCTCGTCGTGCCTTCGCCGGCGGTATCCAGGTTGGCGTTGATCGCCGCCAGCAGCGGCCATCGTCCTCCGCCGCACACGCCTCTGCCGTCACGGCAAAACAAGCACGGACCGTTGCGATCAAGAGGAGCCAATGTTTGCTGGCAGGCGCAACGTAGAGCAATATCGTAGGATATTCAAACATTCTAGAACACGAATTTGGATACCTTTTCGGCATACGCTCAGTATTAGAATGCTAAGGAGAACTATTGTAATGATGGTTATCGCACCAACGAGAGCCGTTACATTTCCAATGCCAATTTTTTGCCTACAGATTTCAAAATGAAATTCGATGCCATGCCATGACCGCCTTGTTGACCTATATGCACATGCCTGCTTGCGGATTGAAGCATCAGATGAATGTGTAAAAGGTGTGAGGCCAAATCTACTGCTTGACTTTCCGCTGTAAATGACCTTTATGTAAAATAGTTGAGGGGCGGTAATCGCGTTGCTTACTGTGACGGAACAACAATTTCATTTGTTACACAACGTGTTTGCCTGTGATGCAGATTTTCAGTGGATTAGTTGGACATCGCTGACTTGCTGTTATTTGTCCCGAACGATGATATTTAAGAGACACACTGTGAATACCTTTGTGCCAATTTTTACCGTGTTTACCGCATGCACCCGCCCAATAATCACCTGCACCTGCCCGTAATATCACCACCTATTCGAGATCACAACACATGACACAATAAACACAACACGTAACAGGCCACGACTATAAACAATGACGACGCTGGCTTGTGCGGAACCCTGTCCACTTCCACGGTCACTTGTCGAGCTCCGTGCAATCCACCGCTCTCGTTTGGCCGCTGCCCGCTCGGACTGCCCGTGACTCGGGCAGTCCGAGTCAGCCTGTGAATCGAGCTGTTCGAGTCAGCCCATGACTCGAGCCGTCCGAGCTAGCCCGTGACTCGAGCCGCCCGAGTCAGCTCTTGACTCGACCCATCTGGGTCAGCCCTTGACTCGAGCCGTCCGAGTCAGCCGTGACTCCGACCGTTCGCCGACTCACCTGACGTCCTCCGAGCCGACGTCCCAGACCATGACGCCGCCGAGCCCGCGTCCCACGGCGTAGCGGGTCTTCTCCGCGGCCATGTCCGGGTCGTCGTAGCCGACCCACTGCTCGCCGGAGTAGGCGTACGGGCCGATCTTGGCACTCGGGTCCTGCGGCAAACAGGCGCGGATGGGGAGGTCAGACGGCCAGTTGCGGGTGCTGGGCAGGGTCTGGTGAGCGCGGGTCACAGCATTGCCGTGCATAGAGGGTGATGGTTCCCCATTTCAGCGGCCAAAACGGGCAGTTTGATTGGGAGGTCAGTTGTATTAGTTGTATAGTTGTATTGATAGTTAGTAGATTAGTTGGCGAGGGAGATGTAATTGGGAGATGGTAAGTTTAATTTAACTTTGTGTATTTTCTGTGCGTTCCATTTAAAGAAGACTATCAACAGTTGCCAGTTACAATAATACAATAGACTTGTCATATGATCATGAGCTATCATGATGCAGTGCCGACAGCCCAAACAACAAAAAAGTCCTATTATTACTGCTAACATCAACAACGCGGATTGTTAATTGAAACACTGTTTCTACTAATTACACAAATTATGATATAAACTGTAATGCTGCTATCGGCGTGGTGCTTTCGCACCCTATCTGCGCCTCACCGGTACTGAGGTCCAGCCGTCGGCGACCTTCTCGCAGATCTCCAGGTAGGTGAGCGTGCCGGCCTCGCCGCTGTAGGGGCCAGCCCGACCGCTGCCGGCCGCCGTCGCTGGCGGCCGCTTGCTCGGCCCCGGCACGCGCCACGAGCGGCCGTACGCCGGCACGCCCAGCGCCAGTTTGGCCGCCGGCGCGCCGCGCTGCAGCCAGTGCTCCACGGTGCTGCGCACGTCCAGGCCGCGGCCAGCGTCGGAGGCGCGCGGCCGCAGCGGCGCGTGGTGGTCGGCCGTACCCCACTCCCAGCTGCCGTGCAGGTCGTACGCCATTACGTGGATCATGTCGATGTCGGCGGCGATGGCCGGCACGTCGAAGCCCGCGTCGATCTTATCGCGCGTGGCCGGCGTCGCCGTGGAGAGCCACATGCCGTGCGGCCGGAAGGCCCGCTTCAGCTCGGCGACGAGCTGTGCGAAGTACGGCCGGTCAGGCGGCCGTCGGGTACTCGTAGTCCAGGTCCAGGCCGTCGAACCCGTGCTCGCGGAGGAAGGCGACGGCGCGCCGCACGAAGCGCGCTCGCTTGGACGCGCTGGAGAGCATGCTGGAGTACTTGGGTCCCGAGTCGTTGTAGCCACCGAGCGCCAGCAGCGTCCGCAGACGCGAGTTGCGCTTCTTCATCGCCACGAACTTCTCATAGCCCTGCCGGGATGGATGGGTGGTGCGTCGTCCCAAGTGTGTGGCTGCGTGATCATTGAGGCGGCCAAGTTCGTTATTGATGGCAGGCATTGATGGTTGATATAAAATTTTGACTGCAGATACAGCAGGTAGCAACAGGCACAGTGCCAGCACTATGTATACACAATTTATTGCAATGGGCCAGCGAGGCGTGGTGGGGTATCAATATATAAAGCAAAGAACCAATTACGTGGCCATTAAAGGTGATCGAGTCGAATTTGAACTGTAACATTAGGTGTAATAATGGTAAATGCAAAGTTTTACCCACACCCAAAAATTTATATAATTCGTTTTTTCATACCTTCCACCAGCAGGTTGTAGGGCACAGAACAATAATTACCCCCAAGTCAACTTCAGGTTTGGTCAAACATAGTGAAATTCAGCGAGGAACAGGCCGTATCGGACCTTCTTGTCGATGTCCAGGCTGGTGTCGAAAGGCTTCATGGTCAGCGTGTTCTCGTCCAGTGTTGCGAAGGCGTAGATGTAGATGGAGCATTTACTGGGATCTAGGTCATCTACAGTGACTTTGCCGTTTCCTGTTGGCGGAGCGCGATTTCAGACCTCGGCAAAACATCACAACATTTCGCCAACTTGACACAAACAGGCACACGAAGCCAATTTACTTCCGAAGCTCAACGTTTCCGGCCCTACGCAGGAACGTAACCAGTAAACACACATCAAAAGCACTGAAGTCCGAATCTGCTTTCAGGGTTGCTGTGTTGCCAAAACACGTAGATGGGCGATGCTGCCCAAGAGTTACTAGTGTTCAGCTCCAGATCTGCTGGCCGATGCTTTACTTACTTTCGTGCCTTCATGCAGAGCGTGCAAAAGGCGACAAATGGTACTACCTGTTCACTGCAATGCGCAATGTTACTGATTCGATTACGCGCTGCAGTTTAAGATGTTACCCGACATAGGCTAGGCTCGTGACCGGAAAGGTTCAGAAGCAGAGGTCAGAATGTAAACGGCCGTGTCAAGCTTTTGTGGCGGAACAGATGCGTGAGATGAGGTGTAACATGGAAAAAGTTTGCGACGGATATGGTTTCTATGTAAAGACATCTGTAACGGATAGGGTGTGGAGACCGAGACCAATTTCCAAGTGTTAGGTGTGAAACCTTATAGCGAGCTCCTTATGCCAGGAGCAAAGCTATTGTTTATTAACCGCATTAACAACTTTCTAACGTGGCCATTTTCCTTGTTACTTGTTCATTCCTTGCACCGCAATATATCTGCGAAGTTGTGTTTTTTAATGAGACCTAAGGGATGAGACAAAGTGTCACAGTCATACTTGAAAAAATCAAATAATACATCACAGTTATCTCCGATTGTAGCACAAATTAAGTCGGAATCGTTTTGATTGGGCTAACAGCTTCAAGCCAGATAATTCTCTCGGATTTCCCAACTTGGAGCGGCGCCTCTGCAGCCGAGCGGACGAGCGGACGAGCGGACGCGTCCTCTAGCTCCGTCAGGTCACCCGCCACTCACCGGTCCTGTATGAGGTCCAGGAGGCCCAGTAGCAGATGACCTCGGTGGCCAGGGCGCCCCCGAGCAGACCCAGCAGGACGGCGGCGGCTCCCAGGCACCGCATCGTGTCCTCTCCGGCGGGCTGTGACGCTGCGGGCGCCGGCGCGTCGCTTTTATGGTCCCCCTCCCCGGCGGAGCGCCGCAGGCGTACAGAGGCGCCGCACATTTGGGGCGCAGCCCGATTGACCTCGGCTCAAAGGCCGCCGGAGGTGGCGTGCTTGCTCGGCTGAGACGTGCGGTGGAGAGGACCCCGAAACACAGGGATCGTGGTCACCGCGGTTACCTCCAGGGCCGTTGGAGGTCGCCGACGTGGCGTACGATTCGAGCAGATCGCAGATGATTCGAATTAGTGGTCTTCACGGGCACATGTACCGGAACCATCCATTACCAACAGGCCGTCGCCTTACCCACCCGCTACCCAGTTCTGATCAGCTTGCAACAACCCATTACCCACCAGTTTTCATTCTTGTTCGGGCATTTTAGTTCTAAATTGTGCGAGAGTTTAAGGAATACTTACAACCAAACTACGTTTTTGCGTTGTCAGTAGTAGAAAGAGTGAATGGAGTCAATTATGACTAAACTAAACACAAACAGTAAAATTGTGAAGCAGTTTTTTAAGTTTTATCCTAGATTTCATGCACCCATACCCACATCTATACCCGTAGTTTTTCTGAAGCCTATACTCAGTCCGTCACGTGACCCATCCTTTGTGGGCACTCATTGCTTACCTAACCCATGAAGCCCTCAATTTCAATTGCACCAGAAGCATATGGACGGTAGTAGCTAGTATGTTCACGTATTCGTCTCCGTGAAAGGTGAGGAAAGCCGTCATACACGCCTACGCATTGAATCTACGCATATAGGCATACTTGTCGGGGGTGTCGAAAGTGTAGTGGTTAAGCTGGGTGTCGGGAAAATCAGGGGTGCGAGGCTTGATTCCTCGCGGTGCTCGCCTTCTCCTGCCAGGTTGAGAGGCAGACGAACGCCATAGCCTCAGCAGCATAGCCTCGGCATAGCCTCGGCAGCAGCCCAGCGCGTCGTTATGTCTCAATGGCACGCATGCGCATCGAAGATGTTTATCAGCGACTGATTCAATGACAGTTCATTATCTGATGGGTACATTTCAACAGTGCACCTCTATAGATTTTGATGAAACAGCGTGCAAGGGGAAATGTGGCCGTACAGCCGGTCCGGCAAGTTTCGGTGCGATCCGTGCATTGGGTCACAGACCGCGGCTTGACAGAATTTGCGAAGCTGTACAGAATTTTGCGACCACCGCAGTGGAAATTGTGATAAGATCAATGAACTGTTGCATGTAGACCATATCTGGTGAATGGGCACATCGGGCGCACCTTTGTGCGAAGCTCGCACAGCAAAGGCTGTGCAACTTTTCTGTCCTCATCTGCGATTTTTATTACGGCCCTTTCATAACTTGCTTCAGCACTAGCTTTGTCTTGGCTTACCATCCATTTCCACAGACCTCTTCTTCATCACAACCCACTTCCCTCTGTTCTTCTGGTCTTCAATCTGTTCTGACGTGTCTTGCCTCACATGTATTCAATCTGTCTTGATGCGTCCTGTCTTACATGTCATCAATTTGTCCTGATGTATCCTGTCTCACATGTATTCAATCTGTCTTGATGTGCCCTGTCTCACATGTCATCAATCTGTTCTGATGTGTCCTGTCTCACATCTCTTCAATCTGTTCAGTTCTGAAGTGTGTTGGGCGGGTTTTCATCTCGCGGCACGTAAGGACAATGCAGATCCGAGCAACTGCCGAGTGCTTCGGGCATGACGGGCAGATGCCAGATCTGGTCAAAACATCCTGGCGATATCTGGTGATGAATGGTAGAGATCTTTCATAAAGCATTTCTTCTGATAAGCTTTCTTCTCCACCATTGTCTTGCTGGGGATCAGCAGTGACGGTGGAAGACTCTAAAGGCTGTCTTGACTCGTCGCTGACCACACCATTATTTTTCGACGAAAGCAGGATCGCGAACAATCCATTCAAGAGTTTATTGGCATTGCTTGGAGTCTTCACATTGTCTGAAATATGGTGCCGAACAGCTCCAAGTTGTGTGAATGGCCGAATTAAAGCAACCCTCGTCGTCAGTTATAAACCTGATGTCCTGCTGTAGTCCCTGAAAAGTCCGGTTTGGGTTATATACGTGGGATCTGGCTCACTTGTCTCACTCTGGGAAGTGCTGGGGGTCTTCTGCTCCTTTCAGAAATTTTTGCTTACCCTATTTGATGACTAGCAACATATCGCCGACTAATTCGATATTTTCTGTCCGCCTGGGAGTGCTCACTCCCACCTTGGTCACATTTGCCCACGGTCGCTTACCAAAGAACATGTTCGTGGGAATTCGGTTGCGGGCAACTTTTTGTTTCGTGCTGTTTCGTGGTTCTACGCCAATTATCACACAACGAACAGTTCTTCAGCTCACTTCCATTTCCAAGGAAAAAGGAGCAGCGTATGCCTTTCCGATGTACTTTAAATGATCGTAAAAGGTTGCAATGCTTGCAGATACATATGCATCTTTGAACAATCCATGACTAACATATCAAAATAAAATGTAATAAGTCATAAACATAAACGCGCTTTTTCTACAAGACTTCTAACGAGACCGAAATAAGGGTGGCATGCGTTCCTTCCTTATAGCAATGCACTTGCGAACTTTGCCTCTTTTTATAACTGATCCCTTATCTAGGTAATGTGGAGTGATATGACGTTCCCGAACAATTCATTGCAGAGTTAAATTATGATATCTTGTACGAATGTCAGATTACATCTGACATCAGCGTACGGCTCACTAGTGGTGGCCCAATCGTGAGATCTCACCGAATTTGTTCAACAAAAGTACCGACCAGGTTTTGAAACCAGCACGTTCTCAAATGGCTCGTTTTGACGTAAGAGAAGTTTCAGATCTTAACGGGTTTGTATCGTTCTGCTGTGAACAAAGGTCATGGACACTGGTACAGCGCCCGTCGTAATTACGGCTGGACAGAAGTAAAAAAAAATGCTTGGTCTGCCACATACAATATAAAATGCCTGGCCTGACAAGTTGTGGATCGACCGAGGGTGCTTGATGCTGACAGCGCCATTAGTATGTACATTGGCATCATGCAGAGCAAGGCGGGCTTTGAGGAACACTGTATTTAAATATCATTCATTGCAACCTGGCCTAAGTAAGTAAGCTTTGTTACTGCTGCATACCTATTAACAGTGATACATACAGGCTATAGGAGTCTCAGTGATAGTACAGTAATCTCAGGTGTGATTGTACATAGTTGCGTACATACGAACACGCCAGACGGGGACTATAGCCGAAAATTTTTTCATATGTGATATGGGAACCTGTTTTGTCGCGTCTCAGAAAGGAATGCCACCGAACCTGTTCAAAATTTATTAAGCTTTCTGTGGAAAGAGATCTGAAACCTAAACTGCTTGCACACTTATGATCTTGGTCATAACCACTTGCTCATGATCATTGCTCATAACCAAACCCCAAATTTGTCAACATTTCTGTCTCAACACGCGCCCGGATGGCCGGTTGAATTTCCTTTGCTTGTAGGGGTATCTTAGATCCAAAAAACTAAGAGGTCAACATTCACGTAATTCACAGGATGTGTTGGCATCATTTACGTAAACTCACTTGTGTCAAAATTTGGGATTCCTACGTCATGAACTTTCGCTCAAATAAGGTCAAAAATGTCCACCTTCAGATTGATGTCCAAAGTGCCTATAGACCTTCTCAAGCAACCGCCGCGAACCGAGACACCTGTTCTAAGCAAAACGTCACTGGCGCTCATTCAAGATCGATGGCCTTGGTTGACCTTTCGAAGGTCATGGGGACCAAATTCATACCAGAATGTTTCGATTTCTGCATTTGAATAAGCGTCAAAGATTACGCAAGGCGGCAATGCCGCTAAAAATGAATTGTTGACCAGGGTCATTGTAAGTCAGTGACCTACTCTGATCTTTAAAAGTCCGTGGACAATTCAAGATGTGGTTCTTGCTACCAACAAATTAGAAATGATCACCAGAAGCTACACCATAAGGCAAGTTCAAGAGTTATAAAAACAGACATGGTTTTGACCTTGGTCTGAGCTTCATACTTGACCCTAGGTCAATGAATATGTTAACGTAATTGTTGGATTGCGTAAGAAACTCTCTCAGAGATGTATGGCTTCGTCTAACTCCGTTGTTGCATCAGATTGGATGCTTCCTTAGAAATGGTTTTTGCTGAATTTATGGCCTGATTTTGACCTGCCGTAGGTCAATGACCTTGCAGAGTACGTCTAATTTTGTCAAACAAACGATCCGCTGCTCAATTGTCTCCAATTATGCGACATTTGGCGCGGCTATGCCGCGCCGTAGCACCGCACCAGCGGGTGTTTAAATTTTTTAAATCCTTGCAAGGCATTTTTATCCTAACATCTACCATGCAAGTTATGTCTTTAAAAAATGACCTATAAACACTTTTTGAAATGTTTTAGAGAGTTGCAATCCTCCGTGAAAACGGCTTTTCTTTGTGGGTGAGTTTCGGCTAAATATTTCTAGCAGAGATTTAAACATGTTTGCAAAGGCTATATGTTGATAACATTGCGGTTTGTTGGCTACAAGCATGATACAGGCTTGTGAGATAATGCTAGATCTCATCCTACTGTAACTTTCCGAAACTTTTCTTAGGGATTCTATAGCATGTTTGACGCAAACGACAAAACAGGCTCCTTTATCCTGGCTGCGTCCCTAAATAGGCTCCTTTATCCTGAGGCGTGTTTCACTCAGGCTCAGTATACCGTTAACTATGATCAGCACAGATAAATGTTACTGACTTTCGACGAAGTAGCACCGCAATCCCTTGATGAATTGAGGACTAAAAGGCTAAGGGACGGTGACACAGAACTGTGTACAGTGAGCACGTCCTAGCAGTACAGTGAGCACGTCCAGATCTGCACTCCTTCGGGTGCAGATCTGGAGGCGTTCTGTCATGTCCCTGTAGAAGCTGCGGTATCCTTCCCATGAATGCGGACAATGGACCACGTATTTTGTAAAGGAAAAAAAACATCATAA